TCCTGTTTTTCCCATTGTCTTTTCCATTTGGTTGTGTTCTATCAGGGGGCTGCCTGATAGTGAGTTGGAAAGTTTACCCAACTGAAAAATAACTGCCCCCCCCCGCATCATTTTAAACACGGATCACTTCAGTGGTTTACGACATGTACCCGCAAGCGCTTGCACTGGCATAGCTGAAAAGGCAGGCAGGGGAAGAAGGGAGGACCTAAGGAAGCCTGACCTGACAGTCCTGTGCATTTTCACCACATTAGGGCTTTAGCATTTGCTTGTTCTGTTGCCCTCAGTACTGTCTGTGTTTGTGGGTTGTTTTTTATTTTGTTTTGAATTTTTATGTGGACTAGCTGGCTGAGATAGCTAGATTCTTGAATTGTCATCACTGGTGTGGTAGGGCCATTAGCTATCATTTCTGTTGGACCCTGGCTATGCTGTGCCTTATGGGTTTGCTCTTCTACTGCCTAATCCAAGTGAAAGCGGGACTTGCCTGAGAGAAGTTGCAGACTGAAATGATGACTTCAGTTGAGAAAGAGGACCTGAAGTTTTTCCTTTACGAAGAGTCAGTAAGGGAAAAACTTTCTGACTGAGGCAGTCATGGGCCAGAAGATTTTCATGAATCCATAGGTCTATCTAGATCCCAGACCACAGTAGGACAAGTGGTTCATAATTCATCCAATGCATTTATCCTTCCAACACCTCTGTTTTTTAAGTACTGGTGGTTTTTTTTCTTCTACCCCTCCCCCAAACTAAGGTGCAGAGATTAAATAATTTATCAACTGCACACACAAATCTGAGACTTAGCTGGGAACTGAATCTGTAACTTTTAAGTCTCTGGCTGTCAGCCTTCTCTTTGGACTGTTATTTGTAATGCTTGTAGTTGGAGACATTCCTTTCGCTTTGTCTCTAAGAGGGTAATTGCCCTTTGATGCAGTCGTCGATGAAATTATCATTCCTCTGTAGTCAGCTGATCGGATGGTGTTTTTCTAAAGTTATTTTTAGAAATCACTGAATACACAATGAGGGAGTTTACTTCGTGTACTCCCATCCAGACAGGTGACTAATCTAACCTTTGAGATTGTACTGTATACAGGTTTGTTATAGTGGATGCAATTCAAATTGCTGAAGAGGGTGAATAGAGGGTGTGACTTTTATGGGCTTTCTAAGGGTTTGGTTTTTTTTTTACCTTCCTCTGTACTTCAGAATTCCAGGTGAAAAGGCCTCTGCACTTTTCCTGCTAATATGTTTCAGATGTGAACTATAAAGATGCTGGAGATAAAACTTCCACTGGATATAGCAGTACCATGACGCTATAATGTTAATGTTAAGGCAACATCTAAATCTGTTGGTTTCCATGGAATGCTGCAAAGATTTTGCCCAGCTATTTGTGGTCTGAATGGATTCAGTTTAAGAATACTCCCATAAATATGAGGCATAATATTTCTTTTTGCATTCAGTATGTTAAAATAATTGGATAGGGTCCTAGGGACTGACTTTTCTGCATCATTTGTCTTACACAAATTATTAACAGCAAAACAGTGGTAGGTCAGATGTGTAGCTTCTGTGATTCACTGAAATCTTTTGAATGAAAACTGGACTGAATTTGGTGCTTTTTGTTTAGTTTTTTTTAGCATGTATCATGCTAAGCAGCTCTTGGTGTAATATAATTTGTAGTGTTTGGTATCATTCTTCAGTGGGGTCTAAAGACATCACTGTCTCTGGAACTCATACTTAAATTTTCTTGGAGTTTCACCAAGGTTTGTGTTTTGGTTTTTACTAATCATTTGTATAACCGTAATTCTGCTTCTCCATTCTGGAACAATGGTACATTTTTGGGTCTGCCCATATTTTACTTCAGTAAGCAAAAGTGTTGCCTACTTCCACTTCTTTCTTTGAAACAAATTGGTTATAAGTGCTTGAGAATTCTGGAGAGGATTTAAACTTGACTTTTACGTTGTTTTGGTGAAAGCTTTGCCAAGTGATAAAATGTGTGAAAGATATTTAAGAGATATGCAATTTATTTTGTTCAGCATAGCAGTGAGAAAGTTCATATGGTTGGGAGTGCAATTAATTAACTAAATTATCCAGGAAAACTGAAATTAAATTCCATTTTTAATATTCTGCCTGGGGAAGTGATATTGCTTGTTTCTTCAGCAGTGTCAGAACGTACGATGGGTTGAAACTGTTTTAACCTCTAATAATTTAACATAGGAAGAAAACACTGTGTAAATAGTTTCATTTTAGATGGTGCTGGGTATGCATGATGCTGTTCACCATCAAAAGAGGGAAAGTGTGTTTTGGTGGACGAGGGGACAGAATAGGTTGTATGGATGGGGGTGGAAGCAACTGACAAGTAATTTATTAATTACAGAAATAAAGTTAACTAACATAATGGTGTTATAATTACAGAACATTTCCAGGGCACAGGATTACCAGAGGACAATTCAGTATTTCACATTTAATTTTTCTCGTTTTAGGCTCTGGATGTTGACCGAACTGTTCTCTATAAAATGAAGAAATCTGTCAAAGCTATAAACATATCTGGTCTGGGTAAGTACATAATAATTCCTGGTAGTTTATATTGGTGAAATTGGAGGATTTAAGCAGTCAGTTGTCTTATTGAATCAGGAAGAGTTATGTGGGTAACTCTTGAGAAGAGAAAAATGTGCATTTTAAATAGTGGTCTTGAACTAGCTGCTTGATCATGAGCTCAGTAAGGATGAAGTTTTGTGAGGTAGCTGAACATATTTAGCTGGCATACTGCTACCAAGTGGGGAAGCTGTGCTCTTCTCTTTCCACCAGGTTTGGGCTACCTGCTCCTTCTGCCACCCCTGGTGCTTGGCAGATCCCTAGATGAGATTTTTAGCTCATATAAAGCTGCATATGCAGTGAAATCAACTTAACTGAGATTAGATGAGCACCTGAAATGGTAAAGCATATGTATCATTGAGAGCTGAGGGCGTGGGAGGGGTGAAATTGCTCTCTTTGCCAGCAGTAAGAAGCTATATCGGCTCTACTGCTTTGTGAAACCTCACCCTTCCTGGTGGCTTCCAGTTATGTATGTTGAGAACTTCATGACAAGAGAGAGCTGATGAGCTGCAATTTTTTATTGTCGTGATGTGCAAAGTCAGATATTTCTCTTACAATGCTGATAAAAATACAAAGAACTGTTGCTGTGTGCATTTCTATGTGTGTGCCAATCTTGTGGAGTTTTGTGTGTTTATCTTCTTTGAAAAAATAACTGAAGCTTTTGTTTTTGTGGATCAGCAGCATTTTGTGAAGAAGAAACAGCATTTGTTTTTGTGGATAAGAAACAGCGTTTTTTGTCTTTTGTTCTCGCTTTGCAGTTCATAGCAATTAGAGCTAACAAAACCTGTATTATATGCAAAATAGATAGGCCTGGTGACCTTGGAGAGCCACCAATATCTGACACAACTTGTGGGCATGTTGATGTTCAGATACAAGGTTATAACAAGAACTGGTGGTGTGGTGTAATTCTTATCAGCTAATTGAAAGAAAGTTCCTTCTTGCCTCATGTAACGAAGCTATTATCTTTGCATTGTGGAAGGTCCAGTTTAAGATTCATCTGGAGCTGTGTCATCTGTTACATATTTACATATTTGGCACCCTTTCTTCTGTCTTTTCTGTTGGGTGGGTGTTTGTTGGGTTTTTTTTTGGTTTGTTTTTTTTTTTTTAATTTTCAGTGCTTGACTATGCCTCATAAGCAGTGTACTTGTTAGAGCATTGTAGCAAACCACTACAGTTCTTGCATAAAATCAATACCTTCCCTAGTTTTTAAATGCATGCTGGTGAATCTTTACAGTAAAGGTTTGGGGGGGATTTCGCTTCAACCAGCAGAAATATCACTAACCCAACCACTTGCCAGCCCTTGGGGTTTCTTTTGGGAAAACAAATCTGTGGCCCTGCACTCATAAGAACTCAGTTACTTGATTTTTAATATTGGTTCCCTGAGTAGTAAGTATACATGGCTTTGCTTTCTTTTGTAATGTGTGAATTTAGAAACCATTATGGAGGATTAGATAGTAACTCCAATTTGTACATAATTTAGTTTCTTACTTAAAAAAAGCCTTTAAAACCTCAAAAAAACCTGGCTCAGATTTCTGGGTGTTTTTTTTTTTTTTGGTAGATTCCAAACCTTTTGTTTGTTGAGAAACTTTTAAAATCTATCAGGAAGAAACCATAGGGCAGGAACAGTATTTTGGAGGGTTCCGTGAAAAAATATAATTTTTTTCTTCAGAAGCACTTGTGGAGTACCAGCTCAGCTGATAGTATTGCTGCAGTAACTACCAACATTCTGAGGAATGTCTCAGAACTGCTGTTGAGCTGCTGGTTTGTTGGCTTTGTTTAATCTGATACATAGATCCAGAAGAACCGTCCCTAGGATGCTGGGGAATAGAAAACTCTTGGGGATGCTGTATGGAACAGAAAGCTCTGTTTCCTAAGGCAAAAAGTCAGCATGATTCAGCTGCTGATTGAACATCTAACTACAACAATTAATGGTAGGAATCTTTTCACCTTGTTTTCATGCAGTGGCAGCCTTCTCTTTTTGCTGTATGAATTGTGCCCTGACCTTCCACCCTCCCCTGGGTTCAAATACGCTAAGCTGGATACAGGAAGCAGTAAGAATGCAGAAAGTAACAAGGAAATAACTCAACTTAATGGGTAGCTGTGTGAGCTAGAGGAGTTGCGACCTGCCACATCCTGGCTTTTGCTGTCTGCCGGTTTGTTCAAAGCTTCTTCACGTGTGTGTACGTCACACAACAGTGTTAGTTGAACACCCTTACTTCATCCTACAGCTCAAGTAGCAAAACGTTTAGTGAGTGCTCAGCCCCTGCTGTTGATGCTGAGGAAAAAGAAGTACAGTTCAGTGCTAGGACTTAGTTTTTAAACTGAACGGCTACATGCAAACATTCTTTTACAGGATGCAAATTCAAGTGCTTAGGGTAGAAACTTGTAGAATTAATGCTGTTTGTGTAATGTAATTCTGCATGTACATTATGACAGTGTTCAATTACATGGTATTATACTCTGCAGGGTTTTAGTTTCATATATTGGAAATTAAAGAAAATTTGTAGCTACTTGAGAAATAAAGTTCTTGAATGGCTGTCCAAATCGGAATGTGAACAGACAGGTTTGTTTTTAAGTTGGAGCATGCTAGGTTTATTGAACAGGTTGTATAACTAATTCATAGAAATTTGGAGAAAGGACATTGCATCAAGAATCCTTTGGATATTAAATGTGTTGATGTATACAAATGAGCTTGAAATGAAGCTGGATCATTGCGTGTTTGAACAGATTAATCCTCTCTAAATAATCTTCAGGGTATATGTTGGTCTCAAGTAATGACCAAGAAAGGGTCTTTGTTCTTATTAATGCATAATTTGTATTCTAGGGTGTGGGGTTTTTTCCTGGCTTCCTTTGAAGGGTTAGAAATTGGCCAAAGCTAGAATAAGAAATAGGCAACATTAACTTTCTGAAATACCGACTTGGTGTGCTTTGTCCATGTGCTTAAGCTTGATATGGTCACTAAGCTTGGGTTCAAAAAGACTTTATATTTTATTCCACACATCAAATTGACAGGGACTTTTTATGCTTGTCTACACGAGCAAGTAGTCTGGTGTCCTAGGAGTTAATCAGTAGGTCAGAGTAGTTAAGACTGAGGCCCCTCAGGTTTCCTATGTATTTGAATCAGGGGAACTTGCCTTAGGCCTAGATTTCATCTCATTCTCTGGGCTGAATAACCCCTCAACATGTGCAGCTCAAAGCTTTCTGAAGGGCAGAAGCACTAGGCGTGTGCTGGATGACTTGCATTGGTGCAGCCCACACAGATTCAGAACTTGCTGTCTCCATTAAGCACTGGACCACTTCTGGGGCAGAGCTGCTGGTTTCATTGTCTCAGAAAAAAATCTAGTTGTTGTGAACCAAAATTGCTTTGAGAACTGAGCTGGCCTGTGGTAAATGCAGGATGCTAGGATTTGCTGCGGATCCCCACTGCTGCTCTGAATTGGAGAGCTAACATAGATACAGGTTTTGTCCTCATCTGTAATGTAGTCTCGCTTCTTTCCTAAGATCACCTGAGTGTCTTATGTGATTTCTTGCCTTTTATTGTAGAGATCCAGGAGTTTGCCAACACGCTTGATCTCCTCTGTTTCTTTGTTCAGCACACAATTAAACATAACAGCACCCAGTTAAAATTAGTGTGTGTTAATAAAAGACTCTAAAAGTTCACTATAGGAGTTGGGAATTGTTATGTGGTCTCTGGTACGGTGTAGAAATACTGTGGGTCTCTCTAGAGTGGGTATGTGTCAGATGATTGTCTTGTCTTGATGACACATCATTTGTACAGCATGTGAATAGATACACATAAACCAGAGTTAGTGAGATATGTCATACTTCTGGCATATCAGTGTTAAAATATAAATAATAAATGTTTATTGTTGCAAGTAAACATTTTTAGCAAGAAATCTTATAAAAAATGTTTATTTATTGTAATTTCAGTAACCTTTATCTACTGCTGATATTTTCACGGTTTTCTCTTTTTGAAGCTCATGTGGAAAATGAAGAACAGTATACACAAGCACTGGAGAAATTTGGAGGCAACTGTGTTTGCAGGGATGACCCAGATTTGGGAACAGCGTTTTTAAAATTTTCTGTGTTTACAAAGGAATTAACTGCACTCTTCAAAAATTTGGTAAGAATTACTTAAGAAAAACATGTTGAAATTTTAAGGCCATTACAAAGGCTGTATTTCTGAATTATAACATCTCTTCACATTGAAGACAATTTGTGTTTTAGCAACCACTGTGTTTAAAAAAATTCTTGGCTTAGGAAAATGTCTCATGCCCTGGCCTTTCCCCTTGCAAAACTCAAAACTCAAAAAAACCCCAAAACCAAAACAAAAAAACCCAAAACACCACAAAACCCAAACAAACCCAACAAAAAACCCTCTTCCAACAATTTTCATCTCTAAAAGCTTACCACAATAAAGTAGTTATAACATGCATTATAAAACACGTATCAATTTGCTTTAACATTGTAAAACCAGCAAAACCCGACTTGGTTTACTCCATATTCATGTTGCTTTTACTTTACTTTTTCACACTTTCCGTTTGTATTTATAAAGGGAGATTTTAGTGTCCCTGGAAGAGACAGTCTCTTGCTTCTCAGGGTAGAGAGTCGGGAAAACAAAATCAAACATAATGCTATAATGACAATAGTGTCCACTGGGGACTAGTCCTGCAACTGAAGCCAGTAAGGCTTAAAAGCACTCTTCAGTGAGCCAAATGGGATGGAGCCAAATGGAAGAATGGGAGTTTTAATCATGAATGGAGAATTTTCAGCCTCAATTTCACATTAATCAGAGGGCGCAAAAAGCAGATTCTGACTACATTCTACTAGCTGGAGCTTTCCCATGTCAGAGTAAGTCCCGAATTTACTTGAAGCCACAAAACTCTTAAACCAGGGCCTAGGAAGGGAAAATGACCCAGATTCCTACAAACGTTTAAAAGTGTGCCTGCTGAAATCAATGGAATGGAGACACATCAAATGCTTTTGTGAGTCTAGACCAAATGTCTGTAGTTTGCAGCCAGCTGGTCATAATAGGTTCTTCGGGGAATGTTTCCAGCTGATGGAATTTAGGGCAGTCTCATTCACTCCCTGCTAGTATCCTCTCTGTTTACCCTGTCGTGATATTGATGAGAGAACATCTAGCCCCAAATGTATTTATCAACAGTGAAATGTATTTCATATTGGTCATATTGATTTGAATATCTCTGGATGTACAAATATTATCTGAGATTACGTATCAGAAGAGGCATCCTTATTGAGTGCGAGTCAGTCAGTTATCCTGACTCTCCCATACAGAGGCAGACTGCTCATATGGAAGGGGAAATAGAATGGGTCTTCGAATTGATGCCTTCTGTTGACTAAAAAAAACCCTTCTCTACCATATATTAATTGCAATATGGTGACTTCATTAGGCAAATGGATCTGGGAAATGTGACATTTAGGTGGTTTTAAAAAGCAATCTACTAGAAGCTGCACCCCCTCCCCAGAAAAACCTTTCAATGTATTGTATTTCAAGAAGACTTAAAAGCTAAAAAATGTTGCTATTTTACCAAAAATCATAACTATTCATTCTCTTAAAACCAGTAATTACTATCTTTGCAAAATATTTCTGGCAAGAATAACTTTTCTTCCACAAACTGGAAAGGAAAATAAAACCAAAATAAATATCTATAGGAAGTGGGATGCATGTTTTTATTATGTTTTCTTTTCCATGTAAGTGGTTTGTGTGTCTTGTCCAAGGAATATTTCCAAATCTCTTTGCTGTGTACTGCTTTATCACTAGCAACTATGTATTTTGCTTCAGTTTATATGTATAAGAAGATATGTCATGAGACAGTAGCTAAGTCTTTAGTTTTTCTCAGTTTGTGGTGTTGACTTTTCTCTATTTTTAAAGCAAATACTTTTGCATGGGTATGAATGTAATTTTGGGGGTTTTATTTACATTGCAAGAGCATAGGCACCTGCTCTCTTCTTTAGTACTGTCTGGTGAAGGACAGGTCTCTGTAAGGTTTTTTTATAGCCATAGTCATGTATGAAACAAGCCCTGTGCATTCTCACAGTCTGGTGAAGTATCCAACTGAACGGTTTAAGCACGTTGGCAGTAAAAACATCCTTCTGCTCTGGTGTTTCCTTGTAGCACCAAACATATTTTGGTTGTAAATCATAGAATTGCTGAGGTTGGAAAGGTCCTTTAAGATCATCAAGTCCAACCATTAACCTACCCTGACAAAACCACTTCTAAACCATGTCCTCAAGTACCACATCTACCCTTTTTTTTAAGCACCTCCAGGGATGGCGAATCCACCACCTCCCTGGGCAGCCTATTCCAATGTTTAATAACCCTTTCAGTGAAAAAAAAATTCCTAATATCCAGCCTAAACCTTGTCTGGCATAACTTGAACCCATTTTCTCTCATACTATCACTTGTCACTTGGGAGAAGAGGTCAGCCCCCACCTCTCTACAACCTCCTTTCAGATAGTTATACAGAGCGATAAGGTCTCCCCTCAGCCTCCTCTTCTCCAGGCTAAACAACCCCAGTTCCCTCAGTCGTTCCTCCTAGTATTTTGATGAATAGTTTCATCAAAAATGTAGCCAGGGCCATACAACCTGCTGCTGTTAAAAAAACATTCTGAAAGATACCTTTTTAAATAGACCTTTCCCTGGAGTTTCATAGGGCACAGTTTCCACAGAAGATGTTAGCTGAAATGAGTGGGGAATGTGCAAGGTGGTGAGAGGATGTGTTCAGACTGGAGCAGATGCCAGAGCTATTAACACTGGCAAAGCTTTAGGGCTACTGTCAAGTTTTGCTTTGTCGTATATTTTGCTATTGTTTCAAGAAGCTGATGTGTTCTGTCAGCTCTGGCCTGGGTGGCATTTAGAGCTGTAGCTCTAAAGTGCTTCTGCAAAAAGGTTTTCCTTAAACTTGTCTTTAATAACCTAAAGGAAAGCTGTTGTAAAGTTCTTCTGCATTAACAAGGATTTTAGGTTCTTGTTTTCTCTATTGTTTTTAAATCTTTCCCAAAAGACACTGATGTTTTTGTGGACTTATCAAGGCATCAGTGTTTTAAAATATTTCATTAACATCTGAAGGGTTTTTTTCTTGGAATCCAATTATTCAACTGTAAACTATTCAAGTTAAAGTTCAGGTCTTGGGGTTTTATATGTGTTTTGCTATGTTTCTTTTATGTGTGTACTTTTAAATAGTGCTTAAAACTCTAAAAACCCTTTGAAAAACCTTGGTTCTTCACATTTGAAGTGATCTATAAAATATATCTTTAAGAAAAGAAGTGAAATGACATTTACTGCATATCAGGTCCTTGTAACTACTCATTTTAGCCTTTCTAACACATTGTTTGGATCAGTTTATGATATACTGAGCATTTTTTTTTCTCTTGCCATAGCTCAATTATCAAGCTACAAATTTTTCTTGAACTTCTTCTGGATTAGAAATGTTTTTAAGAAGACCAAGTGATTCGTATGTCCTTTTTGGTAGTCGTGAACTATCAGAAAATACTAGAGGCATTTTCATAGGTAATACAGTACCTTTTGTGGCATGTACAGTATTGCTTCTTGATGGTAACCTTGGTGCTAATTCCTGGTGGAATGGTAGCACCCACAGTTCCCAGGTAGGTTAGGTCTGTATGGCACTTGCTTATAGTGTTAATTACTCTGTCTTCCTAATAAATTTAGTGCCAATTGATAAAGGTGTGAGTCTTAATATGAAAAAATGTTAGGAGAAGGAAAGGCCCATTGCAATGTGTTTGCACTTAAAATATTTTTTCCGTTAAATCCTATTAGATTTCTTCACCAAGAAGAAATAAATCTGTAGTTGCCTGCCATCTTTGTCAGCATTCCTTGAAAAGGCATTTGAGATGAAGTATCTATTTAACAAATTTCTTTTTCTGTTTCTGTTGTTTTTCTTTATACTCTTGTCCTTTCTTTTTCATTTATTTAAATTCAAAGCTAATCAAACGTGCTGGATTGAGAGGACTGGAATCTGATATTTCCACTTTGTGGAAGGTAGCTGGGAGAAAGAGATTCCATGTGAGAGGCTTTTCTGTTAATAATCCTTGGATTTTTAGCCAGGAAAAATGGAAGAACAACAATAATATTTTTCTGACCATATGCTTCTGTTTTACTTCATTTTTTAAATGTAAGAAGAAAGGACATTTGCTTATGTGTAGAAGGTAACAAATAACAAAATTGAAGGAAGTATCTAGTCTGTATTCTATAATGAACTTAAGAAATTTATGCCCAGAATTTTCTTTCTGGCATAATAGGTCAGACTAAGGTTTTAAAAATGATGTTTAGTGCCTGAACATTCACAAGCATATTTACTTTAGAAGGACTCACCTTAGTTAAGTGCCTAGAAAAAGCTACAGATAGACATATTTGAGGTTGGAGTATTATGGATGAAGCTTAACGATTTAAGTTGTGTTGTTTCTGCTTTTCACTGGTACACTTGAGGAAAGATTGGCTTAATGCTGAGAGGAGAAAAATAAGTACTGATTTACGCTTGTAAAGATATAAACCAAGATGTAACAATTACTCCTTCGTGGCATGGGTTTGGCTTCACCTGGAATCTTATCGTTACTTCTTTGCCAAAAAGATATTGATCCAACTGGAAGAAATTCAGAGGACAGTAAGAAAAAATGATCAGGGCTTGAAGAGGTTGATTTATGAAAAAAGCTTAGAAGAATTGGAAAGGTATAGTTTGCCTCACAGATAACTGTGATTGTGGAAGAGGAAAATAATAAATTGCATATAAATGGGGTCTCACTGTGAAAATATTAGATGAAGTGTCCCAGAGAAAGTGGTGGAAGCCTACCACTTAGGTGTTTTAACCTAGGTTAGAAAATGTGCAATTTGGGAAATTTCCTCCGTTGGCAAGGAAGATGGGCTGGAATAACCTCAAGTCTCCTTTGCTTTTAAAATTCTTTACCTTATGCTTTTAAGAATGCCTTTAAAAATGTATTTCCTGACATTTTGCATTTGCATTTCCTAATAGTGAAATTGCCAGCCTGTAGTTTGTGTATCAGTGGTGGTATTGGGGCTGTTCCCAAGTAGTACATGGCGGCAACACTCAGTATCTTGTGTGAAGGTATTTTTCTAGGCAGCTGAGGTGGCAGCTCCATATGGGCACTTAGTGGTGTTCAGCTGCTGCTTCACTGGAGTCACTTTTCCTACAGCACACACGGGTGGTGGGCGATGTTCCACCTCAGCCACCAGCCTGGTGGGATGCAGTTTGTGCTGTGGGACACACCACTGCACTGCAGGTGGGGCAGGGGGTGAGGACAGAGGAAAAGCAGCGTTGTGTCCTGTGTGGGGAGGAGGCATGGTGCAAAGATGAAAGTTTGCACTACAAGTCTGTGTTACATGATTTTCTGAAGTCTTAGGGTTAGATGCTAAAAAACTTAAAGTTCAGACAAACAAACTGTCTCGTCTATAGCAGATGTTCTGATTTCCATTTACTCCCTGCTGTGTTCATTGACATTGTCCTACTAAAGCTCACACTACTGGGAAAACTTTTGGAAAAGTATTCAATCCAATAGTGCTTGCAGTAAAAAAAAAAAAAAAAAAAGAAAATAACTTAAGCAATGATTTATCAGCAGGCAGTACTACCATCAGTTGTGCACACCCAAGTTCATTGGTGGTTGAGAAGCCCATAACCAGCTACATGGACTACATCTACTGTTTAGTAACGGCAATAGGAGTCATATCATACACTTTTCAACTGCCTGAATTTTAGTTTCAGTTAAAAATGTATTAAGGTCCACTCTGCTTATCTGCATGTTTAAGAAAAGTTTTTAACTTTTTTTGCTTGGATTTAGGAAACAACAAAACCTATTGAAATACTGTAGACACCACTATCTCAAGCTCTTCTGAAAAAGACTCATTAAAATAAACGGGAGGGCTGGCAAATGAAAAACTTCAGTGTTTAGCCATAGGCTCTTAAACTACTTGAAAATCTTCTTTCCCCTCACAAATGTTGGCTTTCATGCTGCCTCTACCATGCTTCTGGCAGCTATGTTTGTTTATTTTTATGTTCTCCCTCCTGCCATTTCTTCTTCTCCTCCTCTGAGCCTTCTCCAACCTAGGAAGTTCTAATTTATTACCCTGTCTCTGTCATCTTATCTTGTTGGAAGCTGTCAGAGGAAAACTGCGAGTCTGCCAAAGCAGCAGTGTTGAAAGTGGAAACCAGGTCAACTAACGTGTTTTTTTTTCTTTCCTTTTTTAAAAACACATGAAACTTGCTGATGTTCCTCTGACACAGGATGATTCTAATTTCTGTGAAGCTTTCCTGTACCTTTGTGCATGTATCTTTTTAAAGAATATTTTAACACATAAAATAGTCAAAATGCAGAGGCAGTTATATACATTTTAACTCCTTGTATACACACAGAGTAGGAGCAGCAGTATATTAATGCTTCTCCTCATGCCAAAAATGGGTCTGTATTTTTAGATAGTTCAGCTTAAGCTTCCCAAGAAAAAAGGGAAAAACATGTAAGATCTTTCTTCTGTATCCCGCTTACTGATTTATAAATATGAGCAAGTATGATTCATCTAACTAGGTTAATAATGACAAGTTCATGTATTATGTATGTTTACATTTGTTGCAAGTGAAATAGGAGCACAGGGAATACAATAGACTGGTAGTAATACACAAGTGATGGCACACAGAAGGAATTGATTTGAGTAGGCAAACGTTCTCCAAACTTTTTAAAAGAATATTGGTTTCTTTATCCTATTCTTTTCTGAAAGTCACTTTGTACTTTCAGGCCCCATGACTTGAAATTGTGGGAAACATCCAGAACTGTTTTGGAGGCTGCTAGATGTTTATATTAATATGTCTGGGTTAATATGTGAGGGTCTGACATTTTTACCTGGTCTAGTAGATGGTGTCCCTACCTATGGCAGGGGAGTTGGAACAAGATGATCTTCAAGGTCCCTTCCAACCTAAACCATTTTATGGTTTTATGATTTTTTTCTTTTCTGACTTAAGGAAAAACTAGTTATCTTGAGTCTGCTGTTGAGAAATTCTTTACTCTTGCTTTGTGCCAAATTATCTGGATTTGAAGAATAATTAAATGGAGGCTATGAAAGTATTGATCTTTAGGTTAGACTTTTGACTGCATCATACTAAGAAAGTAGAATAACAAAGTAGAAAACTTTGCAAAGGATGGGATCTTAGATGAGGCCTCTTCTGCTTCTCTACCTAGATAGCCGTTCTGGATGTGCATGCCCCTAGGTGTGCGTGTTCCATCTGTCTTTTTCTGGAAGTTTTTATTTTTTTACCTAAGTTTTATGTGACTTAAACAATTTCACTTATCTCCTGTACCTACAATGTATAATTTTATTAACTTTGAGCATGGTTACGGTGATATGCAGATGTTGTAGTACTACTGAGAACTTAGGAGATGGATGGTTTCCAGCACTGCCAGCTAAGCATGTGTATATGTAACTCATTCAGGTTTTATAGGAATTATTTTAAAAACAAACACAGAGAGTTGAAATTTAACTCGTTGATTCTAAGGGATTGTGGTTGTGTCCTGCAGCTTTTTGAGGGAGATGAAAAGTAGGGTGGAGGAGGGGAAATGTGATTTGTGGTAAGAGTTAGAGACCAGATTTTCTATATTTCTTCAACCTTCCCATGTAGAGACAATTTGTTTAAGATTTTAAATTGAGGTATGTTCACTTTCTTTTTGATTGTTGGCTAAAATTTCAAGCAAATACAGTAAGGTATTATCTTTGAAGAGGAAGGGTTGGGGTTTGGGGGCTTTGTTTGTCTTAATAGCAGCTGTTGAGTACCACTGGAGAGAGAGACCCCTGAGTATGTTCTAGTGAGGCCACCAAGTAACTATAGGGTGGTAATGTTTTGTATTTTTCCATTCTGGAGAGTCTGAAGCATCACAACTGGAAATATTTTTTTTCTTTAAGTTGCTGTTAGTGTCCTTTCTTCTCTGGATGGGTTATGCTAAAAAGGACTTTGATGTTCCTGACATTGTTCCTGAAGAAACAGAAGCATTTGTTGCTACACGATGCAAAGTTATTTCTGTACTTTGAATGTTTGAAGTCCATCTTCATATATGCATTTCAGTGCTTCTTGAAAAAATCAATAACATCAAAAAAAGAAACCCATCCAAAGGCAACCTTCACAAAACTGCTGCAAAAGTTACTCTGATTTTTTTTCCATCATGTGGTTCCAAGATACTCTGTTTTTTACTCTGCAGTGCAAACCATTTTAATTGTTACAGCTTAAACTCTATGCCTAGACATCATGGCACATACCTTAAACATTTTCCCTGAATCACAGAGGATTGGACATGAAGTCTCTCTTTTCCTTGTGTATGCTACTTACTGTATTATTCCTACTGTCTTTCTTCAATCTTTTTCCTCATCAAAGTATTATTGTAGAGATGCTTACCTAAAACCATGGTTATTTTACTGTTGTCTTCATTCGAATTTTTTTTTCTTCTTGAAGTACTTGTTTATTCTTGAATTACTTGCGTGCTGAAGACCTCATAAAATCCTTACTTGAAAATTTCTGTGAGATAAACAGTGCAGATGTGTTTCATTTTAAAAATACATAGAAAATATTTGAATAGTGGCTTTTTTACAGGCCAGCATTTTTTGTCTTTATAATTTCTGTCTGAGTAAGATGTCATGTATTATGAGAGCAGCAGATATGTTTTATGAAATAGGTCTGAAGAGAATGGAGAATAAACAAGATTAATTTGAAGTATACTGATGAACTTAAAATATGTAAGTGCTGACAAAATTGTATGATTGTTTTCATATAATTTAAACAGTGAAATCAGGCAATGTGAAAATTAGCAGTCTTACTTTGCAATAAGTGTTGGATGAGATATTTATCATCAGTGGTAATTCTGCAGGTTTCCTGCTGGCTGGGGTTATAGTGTTTCCAAAGTAAGTTTAATTAACTTATGTTGCTTCCACCTTTGATTGCTGGCTGTACTGATAAAATCTTCATAAAGCAGGGCTAGAAAAATAATATCTAAGATTTCTTTGTGAAACTCTGTCTCATTTCACACATTTCAGAAAGTATGTTCTGCATTAAAATGTATTAAAAGTTTTGATGTAATTTTCTTGTTACAGATTCAGAATATGAACAACATAATCACTTTTCCATTGGATAGTTTGCTGAAGGGAGATCTGAAAGGGGTAAAAGGGGTATGTTTCTATTCTTGTTTATATATAAAATTATTGTTGGTACAATAAATACATTTAGCTAGTGTGTTAATCTTATTTGATGAAAGGCATGGGATGCTAAAGGAATGTATTAGCTTAATAAACAAGAATTTTTTTTTTTGTTTGGCGAATTGAATCTTCCCTTCTCCCACATGCTATTGACTATGTATACAAAACAACATTTGAGAAGCTTTCAAAGCAGCCCTGAGATATAGAAGATAAGCAGAGAAAGAGGTGTGAGAATTTAGATATTTACATAGTTTTGGAGGTAGTACTTTATCTAAAAGGATTATTATTAATATATTTATTTAGCATTCTAAACTTACCTGAAACTATACGGATTGTTAAGAAATACACATTAGAGTGCATGAGAATAGGATTTTTCTTAACAAAGCTGAAATCTGTTTGTGCCCTGAGGATATTTTGTATTTGAAATAATAATAACTTAGGACTCAAATGATGATATGTTTATAATAAATTTCAAAGCCTATAGCCAACAAATTTATTTGGCTTACGCTTTGTTTACTACTGAGCAAACAGGAAGCGACTGGCAGCTATTGTTCTAGGACATAGAAGGAAGAAGAAAAATGCACATAGTCTAAAAATGGTCTCTGTAAATTACTAGAGGAGAAAGAGCTTATTTAGTAAGATAGGCTTATTATCTTTGCCTTGCTTGCTTACCACATTTCACTCCTCTTGTTCTTCTCTTTATGTCAGAATAAATACATTTATTATAATACAGTGTTTGCCACATGTTCCTGACTTGAGAAAATAATCAAGTGCTGCTTTAATTAATTTCAAAATTGTCAAAATAACTAGCTGACATGTAAGAATTAGTTCCTAATCTGTAGTTGCAAAGTTTTTCCCGTGTCTGACAGTTAATGTTTTTTCTGTAGTTGGCTAATCTTTTGAACTCGAGCAGAATTTCAACTGCTGCATTTTTAGACATCAGTGAAATAATTTTACAACGTGTTAAGATGATTTTATCCAAATTGGCTTCTTCAGAGGGAAAAATAAAGGAATTTCGAACATAAGTAATCCAAAATTCTCACAGAATTAGTTATGTGGAGCCATATGGCCTATAAGTCAGTGGGAAATTGGTTTCTTCAACTTTAGTGGGATGAATCAAGCCCTTGGCCAAGGCTATACCACAGCCTCAGGACAGACGCTTCTTTCCAGTGGAGCCAGAGGTAGAATGATGAGAAAATAGTGAATTTGATTAATTGCATAGTGTGCTCTTGGGATGATATGTGGTTATACCTTTTAAGGAGTAAAGTGGAGCTGTAAAAAGCATAGTAAAAAGCATCCAAGAGATGCTTTTAAAAACATGAGTGTATTAATTCTGTGTACAAGATTGTTTTTCCTGTGTGCAAGATTGCTTTTACACAATCCTTAGGTGAGCTATTCAAGAAAGAGTGGAATCTCTTATTCTAGTAGGTGCTGGAAATGGCCAAGGTGTGTATTCATCGTTATATCCACAGTATTTTTCATGTAAATAACTGTATCTTTTTCTTGACAGGACCTGAAAAAACCCTTTGATAAAGCTTGGAAGGACTATGAAACTAAAGTGTACGTATCTTTTAAACTTTTATTTAAAAGGGAAGTATAACTGAAATCTATAAAGGTCATTATTTAAAGTTGAGGTCCCAACTAGAAGTCCTAGCTGGGAAGCTGAGTTTTTTGTTTTGTTTTTTTTTTTTAAACCTGGAGAGATCTGAAAATACAAGCGCATAGACACAATCATTTCAAATTCTGTAATATACAACTTATTTCATGAGTAAATTGTCTTTTGTGTGGGTGTATTTGTTAGTGTGCCATGACAGTTGGTGTCTGTGGTAGACCTCTTTGCTTAATGAAGTTCCAAGTAACGAGCATAATCTCCCAGTGAACGTTCTTCCACTGCATATTCTTCCACTTGGGTTGAGAAAGTTTTTGCTTTAATTGGGAAAGAATTTTTTAAAATTTTTCATAGTGTCCATATTACTACCCACATGTGGAAGTCCAGTTCATTTTCTATCTTCTTTACTTTTGGAGGACACTACTATATAAAAGGAAAAGTTAGCGCCCCTGTGGTTTTGCCCTTAACTACCAAAAGTGCAGCAACATAATTGTACTTGATGTCCTTTTAAGCTTTTCCTGTTGGTGTTTTTTTTTCTTCTCCTCATCAGTGACTAATTCACTATAATTAGTATGTTTCTTTAGTCGGAAGAGCACAGCAGAAATTATATACTTTATGCCTGAGTGTTTTCAAATGTCATAACAAAAAATATCAAAAATAAGCAAGTCAGAATATAGTTCTGGATTTGTTAGCCTACAACCCATGTAATGACTCTTTAATGTCTCTGGCTCTGGTGAATTTTCTGAGACCATGTGCAACACTGAGGTCTCTAGGAAGACCTTATTTGATACTGAGCCTTTGGCACTTATCAGCGAGGTGGTAAGGCTGGGGAGGGCGTGAGTTCATTTGCTGCTACCGTTCCAAAACTGCCCACGATTCCAGATTGATCCAGTAACCTTGGTAAACCACATTTAATTAGTGCGGTTTATTTAAATATATGGATATTTTCTGCATTTCATGACAAGGTTGGATGTTCTTAGCAGGTGTCTAGAAGTGGATGAATACCTGTATGAGTCTTGTCAGCTGTCTCATGTTGCATGTCCAGCCCAATTTACTATAAGCCACTTGTCTGAAGGTGCCTGATGCACAGTATAAACAGCTCCAAAATTAGTTTCCATAACAGAATTTTATATCCAGCTAAATAAACTCAAACGAGTTGACAAAGCTCAGCACCTAAAACCAAACAGTTAATTTTGGTACCTTGTAAATCTTCAAGTGGTTTGATCCCATACATCAGAACAGTTGTTTCCTGGGTTGACAAAGTAAATTGTATCAGCACAGCTGATGGTCTCTGAAGTAGAATTTCATAGTGGGTTTTATTCCTTATTCCTCTAGTTTTACCTGGATTGTGACTATCGGTTGAACTTCGTGTCACACATCCATCATTGATCTGCTGAGACAGTGCTGCATGTATCAGACCATTTCTGATGGCACAGGTTGAGACGAATCGCATGTGATGACACTGTTTAACATAAATAGCTTGCAGATTCCCAGCCACATAGATTGGCTAAGAATCTAGCAATATTTTTAAAAAACTTTTTAATTGCACAAAATTATAATGATTATCTGGTGGTGCCCACTGTCATGTGCAGTCTTCAGAAATTATTCCTGTAAGTGGTTTACTCACAAATGTAACAAGTTTAGCAAGGTAGCTGAATTTCATTATTCCTTTTGTGAGTAACAAGGAGAATGGTCTAATTACTGCTTTCTAGGCTCAGTTTGTGAAGAGGACCTGAGTGGCTTTTGGTTTTTGAAACTGCCTAGCTATAGCTGTATTTTCATAATAAGACATTCTGAAATGTTGAGAAAAACCTCCAGTCTGGTAGTCTGAATCCTCGGAAGATTGTGGTGGCTCCAGTGTTTCATGTTCTTAATACCAGTGAACAATCTCATTTGGTGCTGTGCCAGTTACCGGCTGTTGAAGTAATTAAGATTTCTAACCATTGCCCATGGCAGTAGTTGATCTTTATGGGCCATAAAGAACAGTCATGTAATTTAGTCTGCGGTTGTCTACCTGTGCTTGATCGCTGGATCTGAAAATTTGTTTGCTTATGTATAACGTATTCATAGTGACATCCCACAAAGTTTATGTGCAGAATTTAAAATACATTTGCATGCTGCTGGGACACATACCAAGAATGCTGTTACTACTGGACCAAGATCCCTGATGCTTTTAGAATTTCTGATAGAATATTCACCAGGATGAGTATGTTGCAGTGATATATAGATTTGTACTTAGATTCTCATTTTGGTCAGAGCAGGTGGTCTCTGTCAGAGTCAGATACTGAAGAAATATTTTTATTTGCTCTTTTAACTTAGTTTAAGTGCTTGAGAAGTAAGAACACCAGTAGAAAATGTAATTTAAATCTGTATATTTGAGGGTTCTCATTTGAGTTTAAGGACAGTAGATACTTGGAAACATTGTTGTGTATGTTATTTCATTCAGAACCTGAAAATGTGATGTTGACATGTTTATTTTTTATCTGTGGGACTGAATTCAATGCTGCTTGTATGATATCATCATGGTTGTTTTTTTTCTTTTAACCAACAGTCCTTTAGAAAGCCTGCTTTATGACTTTGCTTTCAAGTAAGACAGTTGGGTTTTCATCTGAAACAGGTTCCTTTTTCCACTGTAAGGAGATATCTCTTTCTAAGTTACCTCTGTAGTTTCTGCAAGATCTTTTTTAACAAATGAAGCACACCTCCTTGACAATGCTTATTGCTAAGCCATTTATGTGTCAGGTTATTCAACATGCAAAAACTGAAGGTAGCACGTGTTCATCAGGAAATTCCTTCAGATCCATTACCATTTTCTGTGATACTTCCAGGTGGTGGGCTGGTACAATTGCTGTGTGCTCTAGGTTTTGCAAGTGGTTAGATGAAAGCTCCACATCAATATTCTAGAGTTTAAAGCTCTCAGTCTAGCCTGTTGGACTCCTTCACTTTGATCAAGACCAAAGGATCATCTGCTTCAGGCTTGGGATAGGGACCCTGGGAATTCTACGTACCGGAAAATTCTTTAAAACAAGAGGCACTTGTGTGTGTGTGGTTGTTTTACAACAGCTGAAATTACTTATTGTGGCTTAAGTTTGGCAGTCATGGAATATTGTTTTTCGGTGTAAGCTGCCCCACTTCTACTTGGAGCAGACCAATTTTCCATAGTTCTGTTGAGTTAAATTCAGACTTGAACTTCCCGAAGGCCCCTGCCCCTCCAGTAGGACTATGGGATTTGTCAGATCCTCTTGTGCATAAGATCAGTTCCCAGATAAGTTGAAATGTTGCCAGCTCTTATTATTGAGTGTTGGTCTTTACAAATCGGAGATGGGAAGTTTAATGGTGTGATTTTGAAGCTATGGTGAGAATTTTAATTTAAGCCTGAATCTGTTCTGGTCAGCTTTATTGTCTACTGAATTTTGGACAGAGAAAAACAGTGAGGTTTTTCTGAGTTGCTATTATATATGCCACTGAGGTTTCTTGAGATAATAACTGTTTTGATTTTGTGGCTGAACTAAATGGATCCGAACTTCCTTATAGCTGTGCATTTTGGTCATCTGTAGCAGTGGGTGGATGCAGAGTCATCTCAAGAATTCTTAATCACAAATTGAATTTCCTTGTTATATTATCTTCACAGTCTCTGCCTTGACAAAAAGGGCAAAGGGACTGGGGAAGCTAACCCCAGTCTCACCTACAGCTTCTGTTGCCGGAGTGGGATGGTGGACGTAGGTGTTCATAGCCAGAGGTTTGGTCAGCCGCCTTCAATCTGTTACCTTAGATGACTCCTTGTTTGGACTGTGCTTAAAACCAGTCCTACGTTTATGCTTAGTTAGCTATCTTTTCTAGCGATGCTTCTTCAAATATGTGAATATCTCTTTTTATTCTTGGGGTTCTTTTTCCTCTCTTTTTCTTTTCCCTTTGGGTTAACAAACTGTTCAAGGCTGCTGGGCTGTTCTTTGTCTGCACATCCCTCTGTATCATATGCTTAAAATCATATCGTTCATCTGCATTTTCTAGTCACAAGTACAGACCTGTGAAGCTAAGCGCCAGATATCAAAGTGATATTTTTGTAGTTTGTGGAGATGTGACAGTGTCTTCATCCTGATTTCTCTCTCAATAGGCTGTCTTTATAAGGAAGAATTGGAGCTTATTTGCCTCAGTATCTCATCTCTCTTACTTGCACCTTTGTGATGACATATCTGGTGCTAATAAACCCAAGTGTGACCTATTTGAAAAGAAATTCAGTTAATTAAAAAATGGCATTTGTTTTGCTTTTTACCCATAACAATTTCTGAGCTGCTACTTCAAGCTCTGTATGTAATTAAGTGTGTTTAAAAATTACTATGTATCTAGTTTTGTTTGGGAGAGCGATGTTAAGATCCATTCTTAAACTCTTGGATCACCACCCATTAATGTTGAATGTTATGCAAATTCTTCATCCTGTAGCTACATAACTTCTCAGAGTATGTTCCTGAAGATCCCCTTAGTTGAAGTAACTGAGGGAGATAGGATCCATTTTTCTTTATACCTTGGGACTGGTTTCGAATAAGGGAATAAGAGGAGCAAGTAACCCCATAGCTTTATGCCAGCCTACCTCCATCAAAAAATTGGGAACATCCTGAGGTGACAATTATGAGTAATTCATCTTTTCTCACCATCAGTCATTAACGTACTTCAGTTGAAGCCATAAAGATTTTAAAATGTTTTTAAAGCTTTAAAGTAGTTAAAAGCGGTGCATTTCTCTTAGGACCTCAGTTACAGTCTTTGTTTCCCATATAAGAGCTGGGCGATGCTGCCTGCCACTACAGCGCCACAGCAGGACTAGTCTGTCTGCGTCCTTTGGGTAGGATTGGTGCAGACTGGGCTTTTTTTGTTATGAGGCAGTTGCTTTTCCCCATGTACCTAAACACTAATGGCAGGCACGCCGGGGGACCATATGGGGAAGGAGTACACATGT